CCTGAAAAAGATGAAGCTGATAGAAAATATTCAGAAGGAACCCAGAGCTACTTCAACTGCTGATATCTCCAGCAGAAGAGTGCCTCTGAGTGATTTTCCGGTATTTTCTGAAATGGAATCCAAACCAGAGTTGTTTCTCAGGTATCCAGATTCGTACAAGGAAGAAGATACAGGTTCAAAGCTGAAGATCAAAGATCTGAGTCAAACCCAACCAGAAGTGACTCAGAAGAAGACGAAGAAGAGGAAAGCGCCAGCAGAAGGATCATCTCATCAGACTCCAAAGAAAAGAGGTATTTCATCTGCTGCCCCTATCTCAAAATCTTTTACTATTCCAACATCTGCTGCCCCTTCTCAAACCTCTCACAGAATATCCATTCCAATCCCTACCATTGATGAAACCATACCAGAAGACCCTTCTGAGGCCTTACTACTCAGAAGAACCAGAACTAAGATTCCCAAACAACCAACTGTTTCAACAACACCAGCACTTGATCGAGTGCTAGCTGATATTGAGCGTGAACATGCTTCTGCTCAACCAAATTCTGAACCACCAAATATTCCTCCTCCACAACCAGAACAACAACCTGAACCAGAACAACAACAACAACCAGAATCAGAACCACAACAACAACAACCTCTCACAGAAGAACCTCTGATCCCTGAGCAATCAGAGATTCCACCTCCTCAACCAGAAAATAATCCACCTTCACCACAAACAGAGTTTCACCATTCCAAAACCCCTTCTCCTCATAAATCTGACCCTCACTCACCTCAACCTTCACCGCTGGCAATCCAGTTGCCATGTGGAACCACTATTGTCATGCCACAGTTACCATCTTCAGAGGAATCAACACCTCCAAATACTCCTAAACCACCATCCACTCCAATCGAAATATCTGACTCTGATTTTGATACCCTTCCTCCAAAACAAACAGCCTCTCAGCAAACCTCTGAAAACCCCAGCAGAACTTTCATTGACTTAACAAGTCTTGAACGTCTTGCTGACTTAAGACACAAAATTGCCATTCCCAAACCAAAGCAACCAGATGTTGGCTCTGGTATTTTGAATTTTGAAACAGGTGTGCTGCAATGGATTGCTTCTTTGAAGCAAGTCTGTCCTGGGATGATTGACCCAGCTGCTTCTGATCAGCTCTGGTCACAGTTCAGATTATGGGTACGTGCTGAAGCCCTCAAGTTGCAGGATGTCAACTATGAGCAGGCACAACAGAACTTCAGCAAGCTGCTGAAGGAAGTTGAAAGTCAGCTGCCTCAGGAAGTTGTGCTCCCTCTGGACAGTGAATCTTGGTCTGAGAAACAGCAAGCTGCACAGGTGCAACCATCAGAAGAAGACAAGACCATTCAGGCTGAAAGTCAAGCAGAAGATGTCGCTGAAAGTTATGAGAAGCCTCCTCCTTCTGATGCTTCTCAAGCTGCCTTGGACAGGCAGGCTCTGGAAGAACTAAGGCTGAATGACTTGCGTCTACAGCAGCGGATGGAAGAGAATGATCAGAAGATGAAGGCAAGAATGGATGTACAGGACAGCAAGATTGACACTGTTGTCAACATGGTTCAGAAGCAGAATGAAACTTCTAAAAAGATTCAAGCGATGCTGGAGAGCCTGTTCTCACGCATGCCCCCTCAACCTTAAAACTTTTTCATGCATGACATTCTCTATGTTTTCTTGATTTTCTAAAGTACTGTTTTGACTATGTTTTTGTAATGTTCTTTTGCTCTGATTCTGAACTATTTTAATATAATTTGTTTTTCTGATCTAAATTGTTTTAGCACATCAACAACACTTTTTGATTGCTGACAAAAAAGGGGGAGAACAAGAATGATATTTAAAATCAATAACGGCTAACTAGACAGAAATTCTCAAACATTCTAACTCTATTACTTGAAATGTTTTTCTGTTTTGTTTAAAGTCTACAGGCACAAGGAAGCTCCTGAACACTATGAAGACTAGAAGCTCTGATCAAAATGTAGAAGCTCTGATCAATGTTGCTCTGATCAAATATGAAGTTCTGATCGACCAAATACTCTGATCCAAAGCAAAGCTCTGACAGGAAAAGCTCTGAAGCTCTGCTCTCTGATAAGTCAAAGACTCTTATAATCTGATGTTCAAAGAAAGAAAAAGATCTGATCCTGAAGTACACGTATCATCAAAGGGAAGTAATCAACTCAGGGGGAGTATCTCTTAACTCTGATTTCTCCTTACTTCTTAACTCTGAAACATTTCCCAGATACCTTTTCACGTTATTTTTTTATTTAAAATATCTAGTTTTTGTCATCATCAAAAAGGGGGAGATTGTTAGAACAATGTTTGAATCTACTACCCTATATTTGAGTTTTGATGATAACAAAGTGAAAAGATAGAGTATTTATATGTTTCATGTTTGAACTATATGCTGCCTAAAATTACTATGCCCTGACTTGCAGATACGCTGAATAAAATAAGCAAGATCACTTCTTCAGCATCAGAATTTGATTTCATACACCAGCATCAGAAGTTGCTGAATCAGAACGTCAAGATCAGATGACCAACTCTCGTACATGCTGAAGCTTGATGAACAGAACTGCGCGTAAACACTCTGATACAAAAACAATAGTTCATCAGCAGCGAAGCAGAATCAGAATGAGCCAAGCCAGAACGTGCATTGAAGAAGCAACGGTACTGTGCATTGAACGCTAATTAATTCCAACGGCTTCATTCCAGACAAGATCTGCTCAAAAAGGAAAGCTTGTTATTAGCATTGAATCAAGAATATTGCATTCAACGTTCATCTTCTCAAGTGCTATATAAACAAGGCTTCGAAGATTATAATGGTTAATGCTCTCCAAATCTCTACACGCACAAAGCTGAACAATAATCTTCATCTACCAGTTTTGCTAAACCACAAACTCTGATACTCCATTAGTGTTTAGCAATCTAGTTTCTAAGCTTCATTTTGTGTATACATCACAGTTGTGATAAAGTTTTGTAGAAAACATTCACACACATTGTTTTATACCTTTGTAAGAAAGTGTTGCCTTGACAAACCGGATTGTGGTTTGAATCAAGAAGGCTTTAGCAGTTGTTAAAGCAGTCTGTAATATTCAGTTGAATATAGTGAATTAAGACCTCGTTGGAGAGAGGCGAAATCACCTTGACGGGTGGACTGGAGTAGTTTGAGATCAAACGAACCAGGATAAAAATATCTTGTCAATTGCTTTAAGATTTCAGTTTTACAATTCAACCCACCCTTCTTGTGTTTTTCACCCCTTCAATTATGAGATGAGAAGTGGAGATGTTATGTGATCTAATTTAATATATTAATTATCATGCGCTTTATTATATTGTTAGATATCTCACCCCTTCTGTTTGAATGTTGCCCTTATATTGGTAACGTGCAAGTAATCGAGAGTGAAGGCTGTATATCTTCAATAGTTTGAGTCAGTGTCATTGCTATGATATGTAACACTCCGGGGGGGGGGGGGGGGGGGAGGGGGGTGAACGCTTGTTGCTTTCGATTGTTGATTATTCAGTTGTTGAACTTCAAGTTGATTATTATCAAGTATTTGTTGGTTTGAAGTTGCTGTAATGATGATAAAGATATTATTATGAATTCCGCTGCGTAGATGTTGAATTATTTAACTAAAGATGTTATGATGATGGTTCATCCGATGTTTTAAAAGTGTTATATATCCACGATGAATGCAATGTGTTTTGAAAGAAGAATTTGTGGCATCCCGATTCGGTTGCATGAATGATTTTATAACTCTGATTTATTTATATAATTGTCGGGTAGAATTGGGGTGTTACACTAAGAATTTCTAAAGGAGAATATTTTCTATGAACACAATTCAAACTCCCCCTTTCTTGTGTTTTCTCTACCTTCACTTACATGCATGAGCTTATGTATGGTGTAACAATATGGAAGATTGCAAGGTCGCAAAACATGTCTTTTTATCACTAGACACGACCGTCTTAAATTCTCGAAGGTCTTGTGTAGGCTAGTTACTATAACGTTAATCTTAATTTCATAGGGATACCAAAAAATAGGAGATCTCAACAACACTCTGTAAAAGACAATCCAAGGAATGGTCGGGCTATAAGTAACCTACGCCATGATAGAGAAAGCTCTCCATAAGATAACAAGGGTGGCCATCATCAAACCGATTTGACCCTTAATATTAAAGTTGACTAGGCTAAGCTAGGTTTGAACCCGATAGATGGAAAACATCCATTAAAAGGCTATATACAACAAGATCTCTAACTCAAAATATCTCGCCCTTACATTCCTCATGCGTTAGGGACTATGTACATTCGGTCTCTCGCTTAAAGCATCTCGCTCTTACAGGTCTCATGCTTGAGATACTGTATACATGTTTGGGAATTCAGTTTGAGTCCAAACTCGGAATCAGAAGTTTCCGCTGCAATTTCAAGGCATCTCATGGGGTATGATTGAGTTGGATTGACGTGAATGGGGAAAATGAAATAAACCGGCCCAAGATCATTGTATCTTATTGTTGATCCGTGCATTTTAAATACGTAGATAGAGAATTTATAACATATTAATAGCCATAAATGACCAATCTTAAATAGAGAAGCATGGAAGTTGATTCCAATTGATTGGGCTCAGGCTGACAAGGGGACACAAATATATTATGAGGCCTTATTTAGCCACAATTTATTCGTAACATGGGATATGGCCAAGTTGGATCAACCTGAATGGCCAAATCAAATAGGCCAACTCAAGATCATTGTATCTTACTGTTGATCAGTGCGTTTTAAATATGCAGATAGAACATTTATAACATATTAACAGCCACAAATGGCCGATCTCAGATAGAGGAGCATGGCAGTTGATTCCTATTGGTTGGCCTCAAGCTGACTCATCTTTGTCAAATTTGATTTCCGACTTAGTCTCTTTGTGCTCACTAATGATGTTTCCAAGTATCTGATCAATCTGCTGATGCACCCTCTCAAGATTCGACCTTAAACGAGTGAAATAATGCAGTCATCTAATAGAAGGAAACAAATCTGCTAAGTCAAAACCTCCTGCAATCTTTATTGATTCTTTCACTGCTGATATAAATTTTTCTTGGCCTTTGCACTTCTTTCCGAAAGCAGCTTTTGAAAAAATAGTGTATACCGTAGAAATTACAGCTTGAGTGAGGTTAATGGGTGATCCTTGCTCAGAAGCAATCCATTTGACAAGATTGGAGAGCTCTTCTTCTCTAATCGGCTGGTGCGAATTGATGCGTTTTAAACTCAAAAGCTCCAAGTTGAAATTTTTCTTAACTGTCTCCAATAATCACCATAAGGAGCAGAGACTATAACTTTTGGAATTATAAGCAAGTAATTTCGAAGCACATGAGGCCTTATTGCAAAGTTAATGTCATGAGTTTTCATCACCTCCCTGGCTGAATCTGGTGATGAAATTACAACACTGGAAATCTCTCCAAGTTGGAGATGCATCAAGGGTCCCTATTTTATGGCCAAGTCTCTTAGTTTTCGATGTGGTTGAGAACTCAACAGATTGTGTAAATTTCCGATAATCGGTAGCTTTATAGGACCTTTAGGGAGGTTATAAGTTGAGTCTGTTTTCTTGAGCTTCTTTCTTACTTTTTGTACATGAAAGGCTAAGAAAACAAAGGAGAAAATATATGACAAATAGAGAACTATAGCCATGGTTAAGAAAAAAAGTAGTATTGTGTCATGTACTATACCAGTTTTTGTTTATATACTATCGAAACATTATTGATATAGTTAAAATAAAGCTATGAATCTGTCTTGTTTTATACATATACCCGTTTCTGTGGTACTAATAAAAATTTTCGTTATTTTGTTTTTAATTATGTAATAATTATGTCCTTTTCCATGCAAAGTAAACAAGAGGATAATTTTAAAAACATAATGTTTGCCGGCTTTGTAAGTAATAGATCATTGTTTAATTACGACTAGTGAAGTACGAAGACCAGCCAGCCTACATACTGACAAATATTGTGATCTACTTTTTGATATGAGATAGTCTATTTGATATCCCAGATTAAATGTAAAAGTAAATATTAAAGTTGTATTGCGGTCTCGCGACCATCATGATTTATTCCGCCGACTTTTCAAGAGGTTGTTAGGGAGAGTCTACTTGAATAAGTTTATGAGATGATTGAGGGATTTGGGAGTTACACCAGTGATGCACGCGTCTCAAGATGAATGTTTTGCTTATCCTTGTGTCGGAAGTCCTTTTATATAGTGAATATCTTCGCTTCATCAAGAGCCTTAGTTAATGAGTGACTCTTAAGTTCCATAACTACATAACCTCCGCCGTCTGCGTGAACAGATGATTAGTGTTGTGTAACGCAATAATGAATGCGCCATCGGCGGTTACATGCTTTAATGAGCCGAGATTATGATCGATTACGGGTAGATGCTACCCGGTTATCTATGCTATCCGGGTTGACGGTGACAGCGAGTTGCTACCCGGGTCCCTGAATTGTTTGAGACTCTGAGTTGAACCCCGGGTACCCTCACCCTGAGCCGACTACTGGTTTATCCTTTTCCCTTACCGATTACACTACCCGGTAGGGCCTGTTATTTTCGGGATGTACATAAGCCCCCCGAGTTCAAGTCCTCTCTTTGTGAGAACGTCGTATTCGGTCACGTAGTTACGGAAGGTAATACAGGCATTTCCGGGTTGCTTCTCTTTCCTGAACCACGTGTCGTGGAGTGAAAAGTCACAATTCTCTCTTTCCTGAGGTAATGATGACTTCCACCTAAACTCCTGTTCATTGGATGACACTTCCCATGCCTAGTGCGTTGTTCACTGAACTCTATTAAAGACCTTATTTTCTACTTTCCTTTTCTATCTTTGGTAACTACAGAAGGCGATTATTCTTGCAAGAGAGCGTTTTTAATCTCCTTCAAGTGTTTCTCTATTTTCCAGGTATTTCCTCTTTACTCTTTCATTTACGTTTTTGCCTTTTTAGATTATGGTTGTCTTGAGATAGTGTGGCGATGAGGGAAACACTGTGAAACCTTCTAGTTTGAAGAAAGAAGAGAGTTATAAGACCAGTGCATGCGAGAGATGAAGGGTGTTCTAGGTCACGAGGAGTTTAATTGGATCACCCAAGAGGTTTATGATTTTACCCTTTCTTCTTTGAGTGATTTTGACCACGATTCCTCCTCCTCGGGTTCTATAGAGTTACTGATGGTTGCATCTGTCCCTTTTTGATGTTGAAGTCATGGGTTACAAGAACAGTGTACTCGAGGACATAAAGATTGCAAAAATAAGGTCTTTGATGAGGGTCTCCTCGACTGGGGAGGAAAGCGATGTTATCCTAGAATCGTGTGTCTCAGGGGAGCGTGTGTGTACTTCGTCGGAAGGACACTAATGAAGATTTATTTTACTTCTATGTTGGGGTTTTAGAGGATTTCCAAGTCCGTATACCATTTTCCGAGTTTTGAGGCTGATGTTCTGGAGGCCATGAATGTTGCGCCCTCACAGCTTAACCCCAATAATTTGGATTTTATAAAGGCTTTTGAAATTGTTTGTGAGGCGATGGACATCATTCCTACAGTCGGTATGTTCTTCTCCTTCTATGAGGTAAAGGGGGCCGAGAAGCTTTCGTGGATTCAGGTTAATGACCTTCCTCACATAAGCTTCCTTCAGGTGTATACCTCTAACTACAAGGGTTTCAAAGATCGGTTCTGAAGGTGAAATATGGGCCGAGGTTCCCCCAAGTATTATACTCTTTGGGAGGGTAGCCCTGCTTTCCCTTCTACTGAACCCGATATCCTTCTCTTGTATCTAGTTTTACATTTGAGAAGTTGAGCGACTTGGAAGTTCAGGCTTTAACCGTTCTTGATTCCTTTCGTATAATGAAGGTCAAAGATTTATTGTCTCTAACTGTTGAATAAATCTCGGACTTCCTCGGTAATAGCCTTTATTTTTGTTTAAACCATCACACACTCTTATGAAATATTTTACATCGTCTCTTTCTTTCTTTGCAAATAAGATGACAGACCTTTCTGTGGCTGAGCAGAAGAGGTTGATGATGGAGGCAAGGGCTTCCCGGAGGACTGCAGGCGTGGCCTCTGTGATTAAGTCGGACATATCCGGGATGGAGACTCAGACATCAAAAAAGCGTAAAGGGGTAGGCTCTAAGGCTACCTCTAGTGTGCCTGAGCCCCAAGTATCTGTACCAGCTATCCAAAAGGAGGTACAACAAAGCACTTCCAAGAGGATGAAGACCCTGATGAGTGATGAAGAACCCGGGAATAGCCACGCTTCTGAGGAATTTAAGTTTTGGTTCAACAGCTTCGACGGGCTCCAATTTCTGTATGATCATCTCAATGCCACCGAGGATGTTAACAAGGTTAAGTCTTTTGGCCGTCAAAAAATGAAAAAGAATCTCATTTCCTATCTCATGAGGTGTGCAGTCTTGACATGTGGTCTCTTTGAATTTGCGGATGATCATGAGGAGATGAAGATAAAGTTGAAGGAGGAGATAACTCGGTTGAGGGAAGCTCGGAAGGCTCAGTCCGAGAAGCTATCCTCCGCAGAGAAGGCCTTGGTTAAGGAGAAATAGCACCGAGAGACTCCAGAGTCTAAGAACAGAGCCACTCTTACCTAGCTTAATGAGAGCTTGAAGGCAGAGAAGGCCACCAATGACGAGTTGAATGTTACTACTGCTGAGTTGAGGGAAGTGATTAGTCACCATTTCTACTTCGTTTTCGTCACTTATTCGGTGCAAATTCATCAAATCTTTAACACTTTGATTTGTATTTTTATCGTTTTGTTTAAGTTATTTTATATTTTGCAAATTTATTTTTGTATGATTTTTATTTGAATTTTATGTCTTCTAGATGCTTTTGATGGTTTGGTTTGGTAGTTGTTGGTAATCTCAGGTGCATGTAAAGATCTCCGGAAAATTTGTGCAAAGGCGAAGGAAATATGGAAGCTGCAGGGGCCCTGACACGGCCACCCATGTCACCTAACACGGGTCGTGTCAGGAGAAGATAAGAACAAAGGCGTTGAAACACCAGGAAGAGGGGGACACGGGTGCCCGTGTCACACGACACCGCCCGTGTAAATTCAGATGAACAAAAAGGGTGCAAAGGTCATCACAGACGCTGGCACGGGTGCCCGTGTCCGGTGACACAGCCTGTGTCAGCTTAGGCGCTATAAATTCTAATTCTTGGGATTTTTAAGTGTTTTGGAGCATTAAGGGTATTCTGGACATTTGGACTGCCGAGGGATAACCTAATAGTATAAAGACCTGATTGAGAGAAAGGGAAGAGGACTTTTTAAATGATTGATGAATTAAGACGATAGAAGAGTGAAGATTCAAGATCATGGGAAACAGAGAATCCTTCATGCGTGATAGCAATTGAAGATCGATGAATCCATAATTCTTATAATACTCTATTATTTGTATTATTTTTATTTTGAATTCTATGAGAGGCTAAACCCTCCAATACTAGGGGGTGTCCATGATTTGTCATGATAAGAATACTGATCTCTTTGTTTTATTCAGCACAATAGTTCTTCTACATTAATTTTATTGTTCAGAATAATTTATCGTTTTTCCGTATCAGACCAATAGGGTTTCACTTTTCTTGACACAATAGAACTGGACAGTCGTGTTAAGGTTTTTTAAACAATAATATTATAGAAGATTTCACCTATGACTTGGGCAATCCTATAATAACCAGAACAATTCTTGATAGTCAAATTCTTGGCTTTATCACTAATTTTAATGGACATATAAATTAGGGTAGAAGATCAAAGGTTTTTCACTAAGAACTTAGGGAAAGATATACTTAAGAACTGGTAATTGAGTTAATGAACTTGTTGAAAAGATCAAAGAGTGAAAGTTATCTTATAGCAAGTCATACACTCACCCCTAGCATATTTTAATTAAACAGTAAAAAGTCACATTTTACATTCTGTTATTTTACACATTTGCAAGGATTTATCCAAACAAACTGAAACGATAGTTTTTGTTCGATTGAATTAATAATAAGACTCGTTATTTTCTACGCAGTCATTGTGATCGACACTTGGGGTAAAACCCATTATTACTACATCGGTGAAAATAGTACACTTGCTATTTTTTCGATCAAGTTTTTGGCATTGTTGCCGCGAACTGCCAAAATACAGAGTTAATTGTAGTTTAATTGAAATTACATTGCTCTGCAATTAAAATTTTATTTTTTTGTTATATATTTTTTATTTATTATTATTACTAATTTCTGTCTAATCTTTTATGTGAGGTAAGGCCTCATCCGAATTTCCTTTTGACGCAAAGATTGAAAAAAAAATTCACACGAGGCGATGAGAAGCGAGATCAGCTAGATTGGAATCCGAAGAAGAACTTACCTCAGATAATTTTGATTCTGATTCAGAACACCGTTCGACGAATGAAGAGATAGATTCAGAGCCAGAAACCATGGGTGAAAATCTGCCACGACCTGAGAGACTAATCAGATGCAAATGTTTGTAAATTGTATGAGAATTAAGACAAAGCAGCTGATAGACACAGTAGTTGGTGGCTCATCGAATTTCTCAACAACCACTGTTGTAAAGAAGATAATAGAAGCAATTGCTGCAAATGAGCATTTGGAGTTATATGAGAGTGTTGCCAACAATTCTGAAGGAGTCATTGATTTGAAGTTGGAACCTAACAGAC